GCGGTCGTACCTGGTCATTGTTGGGTCGTACAGGCTCGACTAAAATCCCAACCAATTATGTGCCCTGGTAAGGGTTCCCTCCCTATTTTGCTTCAATTGCGACCGCCACCTCCTAACACATCACAGGTAGTTTGCGAAATTTTTTTTTCGATTGATGAATTTCTCGATTTTCCCGTTTCAGCCGCACTATGTACCCCCCCCCTCCCCGCTCGACACCATTGCATGGATCCAAAAGCAAACACTCAATGAACGACCTTGATTCTGTTGCCATAAAAGGAAAGAGTTCACACACTGAGCCTCTAATACTCGGCATTAAGCGGTAAGAAGTGATAAAAATGTAGCGCAGATGGTATCTTATCTGTTTTATCACTTGATAAGATTACCTGTCACCCGTCATGCGGAAAGATCTGATGCGAGTTCAAAAAAATGTCGCGAACTTTTAGGACAACCTATGATTATATATGTTCTGAAAACTGCATTCATATTTCGCGTCAGCGTTTCGAACCTTTGCGAAAGTATGGCTATCGATCTAACGCTTCGGGCATATGCCACCATACGGCAACGGTTCGAACAACTAAACACTACAGATGTCGCTTTGACTTTCTGAGCGTACGCCTACGTGTTTAGCGTTTCGTGGGCAGTTTTGAGTTCTTCGTTGAGAGTCGCTGGAAACATTGTCGTGTACTCCAAACGCCGACGCAAAGCATGAAAGCAGCCTAGAATGCGGGTAGTTCATATAATTTTGGTTTTTGATTTTCTCTGCAGCAGTTGAACACTGCATGCGCTCCATATCCCGAAGATGGGATATCGTGGCCTCGTCGTCATGTCTTGGGCCGGATAAAGACATTACATTTGTGAAATTCGCTATTTGCACGTTTATAATGCCGACGTTACGACATGAGAGAAAGAATATTTCGAGGACATGACAGTTGTCCCAAAATGGCTATACCACCAAAAGCGCAGACGCCGCCACATTGAAATGAGGTACGGTCACGCCCTTCCCATCTCCTGGATGTGGAGTGTATTTGTGTTGTTCCGTGCCTTGATGGATTCAGAGCACTGTAATGGCGCACCTATGCGTGCATCAAATGAAAATAGCATGGTTGCTCGACCATAATTTCGAGCCGATAGAGGTGGTGAGCAGCAAAGCACTGAACGGGAATATTTTGCAAACTTCTTATTCCTCTGAATTTTTGAGCCACTTGCAACAGCATTATTGGAGCATCATTTTGCTGCTAAATATTTCAAAGAGTTAAGAGGCTTCGAAAAGCACTCAGCTCAGTCTGGGTTATTGTTTCACGAGAGTGTTAGCGAATCATCGCGACATATTATCGCGTTGACGGTTCTTTCCATCTCAATGCAGGCGACGTATGTTATGTGAAAAAACGCTATTGTTCCTCTTATCTATCGTGGGAGATCTGTTATGAATATAACACGGAGCACTGACATTAAAGCGAACGTCAGAAGGCGTTTCAGACACTTCGGCGGGAAATGATACTTTCCGAGGATAATTTGACATCAACAACTTTGCCATTTAGCTCTAGATATAACAATTTCTAGTCCTCTTATTGTATCGTATGAACAGAGGCATCCCAAACAATTATTGCAACCCAAGAGGTGAGGTGAATTAGGTTCCCTTCAAGTACTGAGTTCATCATTTCCTGGCTTCTTAAGAAAATAAACAATGAGAATTTGATCAGATACAGTTTTACCCGTCAGGCTGCGTTCACACTTGGCGTCAGTGTCCTGGGCGTACGCCACCTTTTAGCGACAAGGAAAGTACTGCTATCGATCTAACATTTGAACGAACGCCCAGTGTTTTGAGC